AAGAGGGCCTCGAGGATTCCGCGATGGCCCACGAGGCATCCAAGACGGCCCGAAGACGACCCCAGAGGGCGCCTGGAGTCACCCAACGCCGGCCTCAGACGGCTATACGATGGCCCAGCATGACTCGCGGCGGCCCCAAGACACCCCCAATGCGGCCAAGAGGGCCCCAGGATGGCCCAAGAGAGCCCCAAGACGGCCTGACAGAGCCTCAAGACGCCAGAAGAGAGCCCTCAGAGGGCCGAAAGAGCCCCCGAGACTGCCCCACAGGAGGCCAGCACAGCCAACACAAGCCTCAATTAAGCTCCACGAGAGCCGACATGTGCCGCATGTGAGCAGAACAAGCCTCAAGACGAGAAGCCGACATGTGCAACATGTGACGGCGTTCCTCTTCCTCATTCTTGTCCTGTTCTATACAGCCGCAGTGAAACATGTGACTCTGTCGCCGTTGCCACGGACGTCGGCGCATACATGTCCTCTGTCTGAGAGTCGTATGCGCGATTTCTCTTTCTACTGTCCTCCTCTCCCCATTCTCGTCATCACTCTCCCCCCAGACGGCCCCAAGACAGTCCAAAAGGGTCCCGAAGACGCCACGATGGCCCACGAGGTATCCAAGACGGCCCAAGACGGCACAAGAGAGCCTCAAGACGGCCTAACAGACCCAGAGACGGCCGCAGAGCCTCAAGAGGGCCGCAAGGGACCACCGAGACAATCCCACGGGAGGCCGAGGCAACGACAGCACAACCCAGCTTGGCTCCAACTGAACTCCTCGAGAAGTGAAGACGGAAGGCGACACATGTGACAGCGCCCCTCTTCCCTTCCTCCTCCTCCTCCTCCTCCTCCTCCTCCTCCTCCTCCTCCTCCTCATCAGCACCATCATCATCATCATCATCATCATCATCATCATCATCATCAGCAGCATCAGCAGCATCAGCATCAACATCGTCATCATCATCATCACCATCATCATCATCATCATCATCATCATCATCACCACCATCACCACCACCACCACCACCGTCATCATCATCATCATCATCATCATCATCATCATCATCATCATCA